ACCCTAACCATCACTGGTTGACGGACACAGGCAAAACCTGGAAGAGGCTCATTGCGAGGACTTGCCACACCGACAGAAAAGTTTCCTCTTGTTGTCGCGTCTCGTTACATTAAATCCCTTATGTCTGCTGCTTTCTCCTGGACAGCCGAGAAAGGTTGTATTCTTTGATGAATGTGTTTTTAAATTTCTTAAAAGTGATGTTTAATAACTTAATTGAATAGTGTGAACTTTATTGGAGAAAAATACATATTGTTTTAGAAATTTTGAATTTTTCAAAATCATTGAAATATTTGTATATTTTTTCAAATAAAGTTATGCATTGTTAAGAAGTTTTCAAAATCATTGAATTTGGTATAGTTGTTTCATAAGTTTATGTGCTCAATCGTTAATGTATGATGAATTTTACTTCACAATTCCTTTCAAGCATCAATGTTGATATGCTCTCGGCATAAAAGATATGTGAACAAAAATATTATGAAAAATTGTTACAAAAAAACAGTTGTCATATGTGCATCATGTGACATAATATATTATATGGTGTAATTATCTGAAGATCCTTTCAGAGATTGCTAAATAGAGAGAGTATTAGCATTAAAATTCAAGATTAAAATCAAAGCAGTTCATGATATTCATTTATATTTTCCAGATTGTATAATTTCCACATTTCAAAGTTATGTGATGTCATATATTTTATAAAAATAATATTTCTTGTTAACAAATCTACATGATTCTTCTTTGTTGTTTCAAATTTAGATGCAATGACTAATTTATCATCTTTGTGGTTCGTGTTCAGCCGAGGAGGATTTGTAAATAAATCCCCAAACGAGTCATATCCAGTTTGTTGGAGAATTCGTGAATTGTGTCACTTGGTATAGAATAGAATAAAATTAATACAGTCTCGGATAAGTGAAATACTGAAGGTTGAAAGTTTTCCATTTGCTAAACAAATAAAAACTGAAGAGACTATATAATTGGCACATACCACATACCACATAACACATACACATAACAACATACACAATACACATACACATACACATACACATACAACATACACATACACATACATTAATATATAATATATATATATATATATATATCATACACATACACTAATATCATATATATATATATATATATAAATATTATACATACATATACACTATAATAATAACATACATACACATACAATACATCAGTTGCACAAATGGGATGAAGATCTAAATACAGAATGTATTTATAAATTCTGCATGAAATGATGTATAGGTGCGCTGTGAAATCACCTCACACTATGAAATCTATTTGCAGCAATGAGGGCTAGTATAGTAGTTATGGATTCAAATGATGTCGATAAGCTGGATTGATTTTAGAAGTTCATTCCCAAATATTATGAAAGAAAAGGTACATCGTAATTGGGGTAAAAAGCATATTTATTAGTTTCATATTTTTAGAAATTTTGATAAGAAAAACGTTAAGTCTATTTATTCAGTGCCGTAATTATTCTTCATTGTTCACCATTATTAAAAAGGTCTAAATTGAAATTCAATTTTGACAAGAATTTAGAAACTTGACACGATTTCATGTGGAAGAATAACGTTCAACTATTTTCGTTGCCATGATTCTGAATTACTATAACAATGTTAGTTGTACTGTTGAAGTGTAGTAAATCGGTCTTAAGAATTGAATTTCATTTTCCCCAAATTTAATAAGTACCTAATGATCTTGTTTATTGAAATATTTGGGGGATTTTTGAAAAGATTAACTAAATGGGTAGTGAAAGCTATTTGTAGTTACTGTTGGAGAGTATTATAAGTTAAATCATTTTTTGTGAGAAATTATTCATGACAAGTAGAGCAAATGCAATTGTTTGCAAAATTTACGTTAACTAAAGCATGGCTTATTAGCTTATTGTAGAATGATAGGAGAGATTTTTTTTTTCTTGTTCAAATTCTGTAATTCATATTATCATCAGACAATATGTATTACAGAATATATCATTATGGAAGCAGCTAATTATAGAATTCATACAAACTTATCTTTTTTGTTGTCTAAAGAAGTGGGATATCAGGGGAGACCTTAAACCCTTTACTAAAATTCATACACATGAATATGTGTGCTCGTATCAGAATGCTGCATAAGAACTAAAGAAAATTGCAAATTCTTAGGTACCTCAAACATTATGATTGTTTGCACAGCCGTCTTGTTCTTGTTATGGCCTATATAATGCATCCATCTGATATTCAGATGCAGAAAGAAAGCAGTACAAGATTGCAAAACCATACTCTCCGTCTGGTAGCTTTTCCTATCTGGTAACATATAACATGGCTTGTAATGCTTATTATTAGGCCTTTACCAGAAACATTATTTGCAAGAAAAAAATTATATTTTTGCTTCAACAAATTTCATATCTAGTCCCAGTTTGAGTACTAAAAAATTAAGGGTGGTTGTAAAATATAAATTACTAGCAAATTATACAGTATATGGACTATACTCAATATTGAGTGAATAGATATTACAGTATGCTCCTAAATTTTCAGATGGTAAAAGCCACCATGCAGGAATCTAAAGAAGCCATTGATTGTTGGATATACCTGCTGCACCACTTCCGGCCAGAATTACTAGAGCTGCCGCACCTCTCCACCTATTTCTCAAAGGGAGACTTTGTGCCACGGCATATGCGTGATATCAAAGGTCCTGAATATTGGAGTGATGTTAAACTTCCAGAGGGTTTGTGAGCAACAGTACTTTAATGATAGCCATTATTTTGTATTTACATGAAGTGCAATAGTTTCCTTTAACAAATCTCCTTGCATACTTTACAGATGTTAGAATACTTAATTTTGAACTCCATAACAAAGGGAATTTTGTAATTTTTCTCAGATATTGTGTAGAATTGTGAAGTACAGCTTTTTCCAGCATTTTATATAAGGCAAACAGTGAAAGGAGAAACAATATTTCTTTGTGCTAATCAACATTTTATAGTAGTAGTTCATGATACTCTTGTATAATGCTCAGCCTGATGTCTAAGATTTGTTGTATATTATGGTTGTGTATTACAATCTAAAGAGAGTTAATATGAGTGAAAGATTGAATAAGAGTTTCATTGTAAGGTTGAGAGTGAGAAGCTAGAGTGAGTGTGAGCATGAGTGTATGGTAGAGTCAAAGGGGATGGATTCAGTTACTCAGTGAGTGATCAGGTCAGTCAATCAGTTGGTCAGTCAGTTGATCAGTGAGTCAGTTGGTGCGATGGATGGCTTAGCAGCTGGTCGGTGAGTCCGTGGGTTGATGGGTGTGTGAATTGATTAGTTGATTGCTCATAGGTAGAGAGGAAATCAGGGACGAGGAAACAGAGAACAGAAAGACAGGGCAAATAGACCCCAATCAGACAGCATCACAGGGAATAGGAAAAATGTATGAAAAAAGAGAGTCAGTCAGAAGGTAAACAGAAAAAAAGGAAAAGTGCAAAGTTAGATTGTTTGGTTAGTAGCAAATTTGACTTGTTTATTTGAATAGGAAGTAGTGAAAAAGAAGGGAATAGAGTAGATCCTTGGGATATTAGATCTCCCAATTAAAAGGCCTTACTTTCACTACCTGACAAGGTGATGTGAAGTGAAGGACAACAATTGAAATTCCGGAAAACTTTTTTTTTTTTAATTTATAGTCAAGATATATAAGCATGTGTGGGAATTTTGATATATGTCTCAGAAATCTCTGCAGCTAGTATTTTTTATGTTAAGTGCTGCCCCAGACTAAAGTAAATGCAGTAGGTTGCAGTTATTCAGTTGAGAAAGTCATGTATTTGATTATGTATACTTCTGTGGTGGGAAGCAAGAACAAGTGTGTTAATTCAGACATTCCTTTTGGTTGACATTAAATTCTTTCGCAAAAGGTTCAACAAACATTTGAAGAGTAGTGTACTGAAAGTGAAAAAAAAAAATTATATGTATAAAGGTAAGTGATTGCAAATTTAGAATAATAGAGAAAATGCACTTTGTAGAGAACTTATTCATTTATTGAAAGTTTTCTGCTGAGTCGACATCTAAGGTCATTAGCAGCGTATTCAAAATAGTGAACCTTGGGAGTGAAGCCCCCTAGGTAAGGAAAGGTCATACAGCACTATGATAAAATATTGTGGCAAAAAGGGTAAAATGAGTCAATGATTAGGACACAATACGTTCCGCACGGCTCTCACACTTTAGGATGTGGACAGAAGAAGAGAATGAAGAAGAGAAGGAAAGGGAAGGGGGGAGAAGAAAAAAAACACACAAAATTAGGTCCAAGGTAGGGGTGATTCCTCTACATTGGGCCTCAATCTCCCTCTCCCAAGCCCCCAACGACAACCACAAACAGGGGATTATGGGGCTATTTGTAGAAAAGAGATATGTTATGACCAAAAAATAAGTTATTAACAGCTCTGTGAAAAAGGAAAGATAGAGTGATAATCACAAGAGGATTCAAATACCAAAGTTAAAAAGAAAAAAAAAATCTGAATCTTTAGAAATAAAAATGATTTTACTCTAGTTTGGTCTCCATTTCTATTGCCTCTTTTTTCCTTTTTTACTATTGTTAGGGGATCAGATAATATTTGTGTTGAAGCAAGACATTACTAATAGTACTTATTTATAGTACAAAAGGTGATATAGGCCATATGAGGATATAACAACATAATGGTTTCTATTCTCTATTCTCTAATATTTCACCAGCAGGGAAAGAATATTACATTCATAATTAAGATATTGTTAAATTTATTCATTATCAAGATTAATTGTCCATAGCAAAATGCTAATGATGCAAACCTTCCTTTCATATATATAGTGCTTTAATAAATGTCCAATGTCTGCTGTAAACTCCTTAATTGCTGTAAACTCCTTAATTTCTCATTGTTTTTTGTTTAGAATGTTACTTTGACAGCTCGATGGCTTTAGTCAAATTTTTAAACAATTTTATTGGTTGATATTATTATTTATTTATTTTTTTTTTTTTTCTTCTGGTGGCTAGCA